TATGTGAACTTCATAAATCAAATCTATTGATGACCATAAAAAATATTTTATTGCTGCCTGAAGACTTGACAACAGAAAAAAAAAGGGCCGATCACCCTAAAGATATAGATCATAAGTAAATGCACCCCCCCCCCCCCCCCCCCCTTTCTGAAATATGCTCTGCAAATCTTTTCCGGCGTTTTATCCTTGATAGGCTCGTCTATAAGTGATTAGAAAGAGCCTTAACCAAATGCTTTATTTGAAGCTGATTTAAATAACATATGTGTTACTGACGCGTATTCCACTTCTCAAACATATAAAAGTATGTTGCTCATTTTATATGATGAACAATAGTTTTATATGTCTGGGGGCCGGACGAAAACAAAGTACACAGTGGCGCGTGGCGGAACTATAACGATTGAGCACGCAGACCGTCAGAAAGTGACCAATTAAGTAGTTGCAATGTCGAGCAGAGTATGAAATACTAGTTTGTTCTATTTAAAAAAAAATATAAAAAATAGGAAGTGTGATGTTTATTTGCAAATTGAATTGACCGACATCTTAACAAGAACAAACATCAAACGCCAAGCTATGTCAAAAATGTTCACTTCGGTACGCGCTATTTTAGGCCAGATCCGATCTGAGTACGAAGGTCACTCTTTTCTGCATGAATTTTGCTGCATCACGGTGCTGAGTGTAAACAGTATTTGTCAGGAAGGCAGCGTTGTGATTGCCGCTCAGTGTTTCTAAAAAAGGTAGACTGAAAGGGTTTCTTCTAAATGTTTCCTGGCATTTTGAAAATTATTACTTTTAGCTCAGTTGCGTCGTCATGATATATATTTTAAAACGCATTTTGTAAACTACGTTTCAGGATATATCTGGTGAGGATGTGCCCATTTCATGATTTTATGCACTGTAATTAATTCCTAAGTTCAAGCTAAGTTCCAGAGCACAGCAAGATTTGACTGTTAATACTGCGACGCAAAGTTTTAGCATTAACGGGTATCTTAGGCGACCTGCCAAACTGATAACCTTTAGATTCAAGTAAAATATATACGACTGTGGTAAAAAATATTTTGAGTAATATATGCTAATCTAGCTTTTCTTTTATTGTTTCATTGAAATGAAGTAACGGAATTTATTTTGTACCTGAAAATAAAAGTGGATTTTTACGAATGATAAAAAGCTATCTTCAGGGTGTCACAAAAAAAAGTTTACAGAGTTTTTCTAACCGAAAAATAAACTAGGCATGGCCGAACGCTCATTCTCCGCCCAAAGGTAGAGCTAGAGGTCACAATTAGATGCCAAAGTTTCAGCCCGATCCGATACATTAATTAAAAGTTATAAATGATTTTCTGAAAAATTTCGATGGGAAAATGGCGACCGACCGAGTTTTCAAATACACGGGGCTCTATGGCACCAGAAACCGAAAACGGGCGAAAATGGGCTCAATTTTCCCATTGAAATTTTCAGAAAATCACATAACTTTTGATTAAGGTATCGGATCGGGCTGAAACTTGGAGATCTGATTGCGACCTCTAGTGCTACCTTCGGGCGGAGAATGAGCGTTCATCGATGTCTAGTTTATTTTTAAGGTAAAAAAAAAAACGTAATTTTTTTTGTGGCACCCTGTATATACTCGTTTTTCACTGTAAATAGTGCCTATTGCAAAAAAAAAAAAAAAATAAAAACTTTGGAAAATTTTTTTTTAAAGTTTGCGGTTCAGACCGGTTCGAACCAGTTGGAACCGTTATTTTTCGCTCCCCGGAACTGAACCGAAAGCCGCAAACCCGAACCGGAACCGAACCGATGAGCATTTCGGTTCAACATCCTGGATTAAACAGAACGTTGCACCAAGATCGGAGTCGGTCGCACCAAATCTTCCATTTTCAACATCGAGCGCGCTACACACATACATACGTTCGTTGGGGTGCTTGGACAATGGCCTCGACCTTCTGGGGTGCCGGATACAGATTATCCTTGTCGATGACGCAGCCCAGGTACTGGACGCTTGACGCCCAGAAGGTGCACTTTTGCATCTTATGCTCCACCTGAACCTCTGGAGCTGCCCCATCTGATTACTCCAGCTGCTCGCCCTAGGTACGGTGGCAGTTGCTGTCGCGAGTCGTTATCCAGTAGTTCAGCCTCCGTCACCCGATGCCACAGGTAGTCTCCATGATCGTTCCAAACTGACCCATCTGCCAGCTGTACCTCGGCCGACGATGCGCTGGTGGTCGCCCCAGCAATCGCAGGCACTCAACGAAGTCCCGGCCTGAAATTCCTGGCCCAAACAGCATCTCCCGGCCGGGGTACAGGCTCTGCTCGTGCTGACCGGTCACTATATACCTTTTGCTGCAACTGTCGGAGCTGCACCTTGCCCCGAATATCCGGTCGCAATAAGTCCAATGCTGTCTTCAAGCGCCGACCCATGAGCAGCTCTGCAGGGGGGCGTTCGGTAAGACCATGTGGTATAGTCCGATATGTGAGCAGCACTGGCGATCCGACAGTGAAAATTTCATCCTCGTCGCCAGTTGTTACATGTTTATATTCACTCAAATTTATGTACAAAAGGAGCGGGCCATCCTGGCCGCAGTCGAGATCATCCTGCTGGCATTCCATTTGTCCCGTGCGCGCTGCACGTTGTCCCACGAGGCGGCCACCCGGTGCGTGGCGCTACCTGCTGCCAGAACAGGTACATAAGTAGAATATGAATTCTTTTGCAATCCATTTTAGTATATAGCTTCAGAATGTATCTTAGTTCACAAGTATTGCTGGAACTCCGCTTACACTGAAACATTCAGAGTATGGAAGTTTAAATTGCCCAGCAAGTAAAAACGTAAAAAATTACTTTATCATGCCCCAATACTGATGATGTCATTTTTGATAAGCCACATGCAACAGATTACTTTTACATCCATAACGCTCAACAAGAGGAGTATGCAGTCTTATAAACACAGACCTGGGAAATATAGTTTTCGTGAGCTGTCAAAGACAAAAAGCTACATTTCTCAGGTATAGCTTATGCAGTTTTGCATAAGCTTTATTTTTGTCCATGCCAATTTTCAGCGTTTCGCCCCTAAGGGCGAAACGCTGGAAATTGCAAGCAAAAATACTAATTTTGTATCTGTACAGACTACCAAAACTCCCTGCATGTAACACTGTGCGCATTTGCATTAAGGAACCTGGTTGCTTATTGAGAGGAGTGGCGTGGTTTCGGTTTAGATCGCCTTAATGAGAAAGTATATAGTGCATCTCAAAACTTAACATCGAAAGAATAAAACACGGAGGACAAGCACATGACAACTCCGTTTTTTTATTTAGCAACAACGTTTATTTTGGGCAGGAAAATTGCACCCTGAACGAGATCTCAACTAAGATAGGGTGATAAGGGGGGAAAGGAAAGTGAGGGATGCATCCATATCGTTCCCCCCTATCACCCTACCTTAGTTGGGATCTCGTTCAAGGTGTCATTTCCCTGCGGAATATAAACATTGTTGCTAAATGAAAGAACGTGGTTGTCCTGTGCTTGTCCTCCGTGTTTTATCCTTTCGATTTTAACTATTCATGTTCAACTCCCTCGCTTTTACCGGTCTCAACACTGCATGACAATAAAGTCGGCACTTGCTTGCATTGCACCCATTAATCTTCGCGAGAGCCCCCGCTAAAACAGGGATCTCCAGCGGCTGTAAGGGCCTGCCTACGCTTAGCAAGGAGTAGGAGTACGGCCTGCCGCGTTCCACACCTGTCTTGCGGCCTGCAGCTACCACTCCAGAGTGCAGCAGGACTCTTCCGGCCTGCGAATGATTTAAGAAGCCTCGGGCATTGAGGTGGCGATAAAAGACGACTGGCCCATCGTAGTGCCGTTTTGCCTGCGCACAATCTCCAGCACGTCGGGAGTCCGAATAAACGTACCTCAGCTTTCCATCCGTATTGGCGGGCAACGCCTACAGCATTGTAGATTTAAGGAAAGTCACGTATTCGAAAATGCAAGCGCTATATCTGGTCTTGACGTGATGTCGTGAAGTTAGGTTAGCAAATTGAAACCGGAACCTTGTGGTCAACGGCTTCCCAATATGTTGTGCGCGGCTTTACGTCGCTAGGATCGCTTCGGTTTCAGAAGAGGCCTATGAAACGCCAAAAGAACTGAGCTTTGGGTGAGATTTTGGTTTTTCCACGGCCTGCCTAATGTGCTGTAATTTTTGCTATTAAAAAAATGCCTAAATGCATTGCATATATGTCATACAGGAGAAGACATGGTACGCAGTGAGAAGAACTAACATTGGTTGTGAAGTTTCAACCACCTAATTTTGAACATGGTGACAGAGTCTGGGTTGTCTCAGTGCAAAGTGTGTATTTTCTAAGAGGGAAAATATTTTTTTTTAAAAAGTCACTTCAAATAGTAAGATGGTTCCTTTGGGATAGCTTTATCTACCCCTGTGTACTTTGGGTATAAAGTGTAAAGTGAAAATTAGGAAATTAATTACCTGAAATTCACTAATAACATATTGAAATATTCGCCTCAGCTGGCACATTTTAATTAGAAATGGGTTCCTCTTCGTCAAAATATGAAAAGCAGTTGTTAGAATTCATAAATTAAGGTGTGCCTGCTGACAGTTCTTTTTTTTTTTTTTTTGAGCGCAGCTCTTAGGCGGCCGTTTCCGGCTTGAGCGGCGTCGCCGTCGGCGTAACCGCGCGGTGCATTATGGTAAATGTCCCATAATGCACCGCGCGGGGAGCGGGACGAGGGGGGGAGGAGGGGCGGGGAAGGACGAGGGGAGGAGGAAGGAGGAGGGGGAGGAGGAAGGAGAAGGGGGAGGGGAGAAAGAGGTGGACGAGAAGGACTAGAAGGAGGAAGAGAAGGTAGGAGGGGAGTAGGAGTAGCAGGGAGGATGAGGAGGTGAGGAGGAGGAGTATATTCTTCCCTCAGTACCCTTCGCTCCTCCTCCCCAAGAGCTGCGCTCCAATGCGGGGTTACAAAATGTTGTAAACGTCTTTATATATATATTTTTTTTGCTTTTCAGCAATGGTTGGATTTCTGGAGCAATTCTGGACGTATTCGCCAAAGAGCCGCTACCAGTTAACAGCCCCCTTTGGTCGCAGCCAAATGTGAGTGTCACATCTAGAACTACTACAGCTGGTGCCTTCACAGTTCGCAGTGTCATTGGTCCACATATTTTGCGATATTGGCGACAACTGCTGTGGCTTACAAAGGCGGAGAACTATTTTCGCTGGTTTTATTGCCTCCCGATACTGAAATGACAATTGAAACGTACTGCTCACGTTCAGAAGTGATGTTAAACTTGATAAACAAAATTTGCTAATGACAATCGCACGATTGTATTTTGAACGGATGGCTACATTTTTTTGTTCCAAATGGCCGATTCCAGTTAGTGCTAGAAGGGCAGCCATTGGAGAGCGCGATGCGTCTCGAGAGACGTGGCGGTTCCAGCACGTTCGTGACATCAGGTTTACCTTCACGGGCGAAGCTAAGGGGAAGCTAGCATGGTTCTGAGCTTCGCCACTTGGTGACATCAATTCGCGTGAGAACTTGGCCGTTCGGAAAAACAACACTCCCCGCTCCCCGCAGGAGTTGAATAGGCGCGGGAAAGGAGGGAACTTCGGTTCGTCCAAGTTAGCGCCTTGGTGTCTGTTCACGCAAAAAATGAAAGACGTTTACAATTGTCTGTAATGCCGAAATATAGCGGAACTCTTGAGAAGGAGGACGGAGGGTACGCACCTCCGTACCCTCCCCTCTTCTTTTCCTGCTCCCCTCCCATTTAGCGGAAAATTTTCGGTAAATTTCCCGGTACACTTAGCGAAAATGTTTGCGCTAAACTTAGTGGGGAAATATTTCCGTTAAATTTAGCGGGAGGTGTAGTGAAAATTTTCCCGCTGAATTTAGTGGGGAAGTTTTTTTATAACGCAACGCGCGGTTACGCCCACTAGCATTATTACCATAATGCAGCGTGTGCGGTTACGCCGACGGTAACGCCGGTCAAGCCGGAAACGAGTGCCTAAGAGCTGCCCTCTAACAGTTCGAGGACACCTTAATACTTATGAGTTGTGAATGCGAAAGCATGCAGCCCATGACGTATTGCTTTCCCCTCGCATTGTCGAAGGGCCTCGTCCTCTTGCCGCTTACGCCTCCCGACGGCCAAGCGCGCGCTCCCGTGAAGTGTCCGCGCCGCGCTGAGCGGCATTGGCTGAGCTCGGCCGTGCAGCCACTCGGGAGTCTGCCTGTGCGGGCTCTGCTGGCTCGGCCAGCTCGGCGGCCTGACGCTCCCTCTCACCGGCGGCGGGGCTGCTGCGCCGCCGCCATGGAGAGGGCTTCTCTGGTGGCGTTCCTTGCAACTACGCCGCGCAAAAGCCAATGGGAGCCTCGTTCCTTCCAACTATGACGTGCTGCAGCCAATGGGAGCTTATCTATCAGATCGCTGCTACAGACGGCATCCTTAGCTCCATTAGGACGGGGGAGTTTATCTGGCGTTTGACGCTGCTTCGAAAGCTGATAACGCTGGTTCGCTCCATGAGACACTTCATGCTTTCGCATTAAATTGGTGTCTCTTTGGTGTGGCCAGAACGTGGACGACATTTAGACAATAAGCTAGGCGTTAGAGGTTTCTCGCAGTACACATTTAAAGGGACACTGCTTTTTCAAAGCGACTTCAGACATACCGAGATTGGACACCCATCACAAGTTGTACTATCACAATCAATATGAGTGCGAACAACGCTCCGCGGAGCCATCGATACTATCAGCGCCCCCTGGCGATTGCTCTTTGTGAACTATAAGTGAACCTTGCGGTCGAGACATATATCGTCTCTAGCGATTGCTACACCACTCTACACGTCCAGGTCGTCTGCTAGCAAAAAACGGTCGGCGAAACTGCGAAACTGTTAACCAATGACGAAGCACATTTTTCGCTAGCAATGTGCGCCAGCAAAGATATTTTGTATAAATATCTTTAGGTCAACGTTTTGATTAGTAAGTTTTAGTAGATTATTCCGATGACTTTGATAACAATACCCGATACTTCGCCGACACCTTTAAGCTTGCATAATATTGTTATCGTAGGTATCCAAACAATCAACTAAGATGGCCTATTACTTTCTTCGCGTGAGCTTTGCGAGAGCAAAAGATTGCCCATCAAACAGGGTATTGACGAGCTCAAACGTTTGCTGCTGAGGGAGGTGCTTTGTATAAACACTTTCTACGAAAGCAGTTATTTTTGTTATAGCCTTTCAGCTTTAGGGGAAAAAAAGAGGAAAAACTGCCGATTCTTTGTTCGTACTAACAGTGTTGCGCAGTGTACAAAGCCTATACAAATGGTGTAAAAAAACTTTCTAGGATGCAGTGACTTCGACTAATACATATTAAGATAGCACAGGAGGGTCATACATATCAATTTTCGGCCTTCTGAGATGGTGCTCACATGGGCCGGCATTAATTCGGTGGTTAAGATATTCTGTTTTGTGACGGCTGCTACCGCTTAGCTTTGTGTGACTACTGTAGTGTATACTCGAATATCTAAGTCCACTATTAGTGAACACGATTAATTGTCTACTTCTTTACAGAGCTTATGTTTAAGTGATCATTGCGATTTACAGAATTCGCATCGCAAACGGCAAGACGCAGGATATGCTTGTTTGCAGTGACTATTTTGAGATTTCATCAAAATCATTAGAATTGTTCTGTTTATGCCCATGTTATGGCTAGGATTCTGTGTCTACGGAGTTTATTTCTCATAAATCCAGAGCGATTTTTTCAGAGTTTATTGTTCACCGAAAATTCGGGGTTTATGGGAGGATATTTTTGTTAGATTCCCAATTCTATCAAATTCTGAGTTTATTCTAATGTGTTCCCCATCTTTCAAAATTTAAACAATAAAATTAAAAGAGTGGAACGCGGTAGCAAAACACATAAAAATAAATTACTGCTTGTTTCCAAGTCGTGCAAGCGTGCCTTGCGCGGCCCAGTCATTAGCGTGTCTGGCTTGCAAACGAACGGTTGTGGGTTCGAATCCTGCCTAAAATTCTTCAAATATTTCTTAAAGGCAAATGAAATGAATTGGTAACTGCATCGAATTTTAATTCATTTTACGTCATGTTCTGCAATCACTCACAGGGGGCTCGTCACTGTAGTGCAGACGGCAAAAGTGAGGGGGTTCCGTCACTGTAGTGCGGTAGGCAAAAGTGAGGGGCCCCGTCCCCGAATGCGGCCTATGTCTAAAGAAACGGTAAAAGCGCTTATAATTTATACGCGCTTTAACCTAAGTACCCCCCCCCCCCCCTTTCCACCGTGTTAACACACACGGCCGACAATTTGATCATGCGGCATTATTGAAAGTTAGGAAGGGCCCTTCACTGTAGTGCGGTAGGCAAAAGTGAGGGGCTGTTGCGCCTTGAGGGCGCTCGTAGGGGAAAGGAACAGGACGACCCAGCTCTGGTGAACGATTTACTTCAACTTCCCCTTTTCTCCTTCCCGCTCCCATACCCGCGCGCTAGGAAGGATCGGTTAAACCTTAATTTTCAACACACTCCCCCCCAAATGAGCAAGCCGCTCATTTGATCACCAGGTCTCCGATGGGTAGAGCAGCTGCACGGGCCTTCGTGTGCATGTACCCGAGGGTAACCTGATCGCGCAGGATCGCACGTGGCCGTCTCTACCGTGAAAGTCCTCGATGACGCGGACGGTTCTCCACAGGTGACGTGGGGTGTTGTCATCGTGCAGCAAAACTACGTCCCCAACTTTCGGTGTACAGCTGTCAGCGGGTCGGGCGAGATGTGCTGAGCGAAGCTCTTGGAGATATTCTTGCTTCCAACGTTTCCAGAATTGGTCCATGAGGCGCTGCCGATATTTCCAGCGGCGGGAAAGGGTTTCCTTAGATGACACCTGGGGCGGTTCCACCTCGGGTAGAGTGGTCAGTCTTCTCTCGATGAGCAAATGTGCTGGAGTCAAGGCTCCCGGCTCGCCAGGATCTGCGTGGAGGTATGTCAAGGGCCGCGAGTTTACGGTAGCCTCAACGTCAACCAAGATAGTCGTCAGTTCCTCGAACGATAGGCTCTGCCGTCCAAGAACCTTTCGGAGGCAGACCTTTACCGAACGCACCAGTCGTTCCCACCAACCGCCCCACCATGCCGCTCTTTCCACGATGAACTTCCACGTGATTCGCTGAGAGCTGCAGTAATCCTGCAACACTGGGTTGCGCATCATTTCCCACACAGCCCTCAAGTCTTTCGCAGCCCTTTTGAACGTAAGAGCTTTATCACTGTAAATCGTGCTCGGTATTCCTTTACGAGCCACAAAGCGTCGAAGGGCCAGAAGCCAGGGTGTCGTGGCTACGGAAGAGACGAGCTCTAGGTGTACAGCTCGAGTGGTTGCGCAAGTGAAAAGGGCAATGTACGCCTTTACGTCGTCACCGTCGGTCTTGACGAACAAAGGTCCCGCAAAATCGACTCCTACGACTTGGAATGGGTGACCCTCGAGGACTCTGTCCCGCGGTAGCGGTGCGACTGGTGCACTGGCTGGCTGTGCAGAAAAGCGTCGGCATACTCGACACTGGCTGATCACCGCCTTTACCGTTCTCCGGGCGCTGAGCTGCCAAAACCTCCCACGTAACTCCGTCATCGTCGCCTGAACGCTTCCATGCAAGGTGCGCTGATGGGCTGAGGCGGCTATTAGCTTACTCAGATGATGATCTCTCGGTAGAATAATGGGATGCCTAACACTCTCTGGAAGTAAGGCGTGCTGTAATCGACCCCGGATCCGTATAACGCCAGTCTCGTTAATGAAAGGTTGTAGATCCTTTATCTTTGATCTCGCCGAGATTTCTTCACTTCGGGAGAGGGCACGAATCTCAGCATCAAAGCATTCATGCTGAGCATGTTTGATCCACAAGTGCTCTGCGTCTCGAATTTCCGCTGCCGACAATGAGAGCTCCGTTGACTCTGTCGGTAGTCGACAATTTTGGACGAAGCGAAGGACCCAAGCCGTGACCCGCAGCATCCTCGTGTAGCTTCCAAAGTTCTCCAAAGTCAGAAGCGGGTTAGGTACACTTGCATCGTTGAGCAAGACATTCACTTTATGTCGTCTTTCCGCTTCGATA